CAACACTTTTGTTGTGCATATCATAGCATAGCATAGATTATAATATTATGATATCAAATGATTACAAGCATTACAACCAATGCTTCACAAAATGCCACACTATTTGTCATTTCAATCATTTATTTCAGTCTCTTATATAAGACATGAGAAATAAATGCATTCAATTCCCATTCAAATAACGCATAACTTATATCTCACACAACAAAACACACACAAAACCCAATCAATTGGAGGCAAAGGCATAGGAAGAAGAGGTAATTCAAGTCCTAATAAATAAATTGCGAAAAAATCGCAAATAGGGTTCAAGTGATGCACACGTAATGCCAATGCATACCAATGCATACCATCCTATCTCTCAATAAGACGGCCAGAAATGGCATTCAGTGACCACTCGTGGCAAATGTGGTGACCACTCATCACCAACTCATCCATCAATTGATGGCAATAGCGATGACTGGGAGGGGGCGGGCGATGGCTTCCCTCTGCTCTCAGTGTTGGTAAACAAATAGTTTGCATAACAAATGGGTATTCATTACTATAGCGGATGAGTACATGAGTGGACACACGTCGGGACAGTGAGACACAGTTAAGCCATACAACACTTCAACACTCATTGAATATGTAATAGACATGAAATGGTAATCAAAATGAACTCATATTTACCTTAAGAAGCGATGGACTGATGGACTGGTAATAAAAAGTGAGTTTCGTTTGGGTTTTACGCCATTAAGTGTTCACTCAATCGCTTTCACATCAATGTCTATGAGTTCTCTCAACACTAGTGTTGGCTGCAGTTGAGAGTCATTGCCAGCACTCACTCAAGCCATCCCTTTCCCCCATCCCTAGTGTTATACAACACAACACACGCCTGACATCTCTCCCAACACCACAACACTATTACATACCATACATACCATTGCCTCACAAACTTGTTTTATACGGCAACAAAAGTTTTGCCCACAAAAATGTTGACCGAAATGAAACATTACTTACGAGTTATATAAACATTCAAAGCATATAAACAATTGATTATCCAAACACTGCACCACTCGTTCACACATACAATCTTATCATTCATTTCTACATAAAATAACAATATTTATAACAAACCGGTAAATCATATGCCATTGGCTTCACTCACTGTGAATGACATTTGGCGTCCAATCATTACAAACAACTCATTTGTATNCTCACTGTGAATGACATTTGGCGTCCAATCATTACAAACAACTCATTTGTATAACTCTATCAAAATATATGTAAAATTGTTATCGAAGTAAAAGTTGCGATAATTAGTTGTCATTACATGTATTGACAACTCTATGGGCTGTGAAATAGTGTGTGAAATACAGTGTTAGGCAATGTATGGCAACAGCTGTTCAGTACATGTGTTGCCCTAACAAACAGCCAGAGCTCACGCTTTCAATGCATTTCTCAATCGTTTGTTTATTTTGTTTGAAATGATGTCTCAAATGAATGGTTTGTTGAGACGAAAGCTGATTGGCCGACACATGTTGCCCAAGAAGTGGATCCATAAGAAGACACGTAATAATAGTGTCTATTACTGGAATCAAATGCTTGTTTTAACGAATATCAACCAAACAATTGGTTCCCATTTAGAGGGCAGTCATAAAAGTCAATCGGTTTGTCATCTCGTCTCACATTTATGTCATTTTTAATGATTTTTTGGATCAAATGACAGATCTTTAAGAACAAGAACTTAATATCGATGACCGAAAAGGGTTTATATATAGTAATGCCATTAGTATTGAAATCTATGAACAAATTGATTGATATCATCGACGATTGATTTTTTGGATCAAATGACAGATCTTTAAGAACAAGAACTTAATATCGATGACCGAAAAGGGTTTATATATAGTAATGCCATTAGTATTGAAATCTATGAACAAATTGATTGATATCATCGACGATGAGATGCATTCAATTGGCGCACAAAAGATAGCAATGCCTTCACTCGTGTCTAAAGAACTTTGGGATAAATCAGGTGTGGATTCAGAGAAGATATTTACATATAATNTATAGTAATGCCATTAGTATTGAAATCTATGAACAAATTGATTGATATCATCGACGATGAGATGCATTCAATTGGCGCACAAAAGATAGCAATGCCTTCACTCGTGTCTAAAGAACTTTGGGATAAATCAGGTGTGGATTCAGAGAAGATATTTACATATAATGGACGATATGTTGAGCCAATTGTTTGATTGTCACCAACAGGTCGTTGGAGTGATTCGGCCGAAGAGCTCTTCAGATTGAAAGACAGACAAAAGACTGAGTTTTGTTTAGCGCCCGTAAGAATATTGTGATCGATATGTATTGTTTGATATGTATTTTTATAGTGATATTTGATTCAAATTTATAATTAAGACTCACGAAGAAGTTGTCACTCATTTAATAGCAACGGCCAAACACTTGACTGAAATTCATTTACCGATATATTTATATCAAATCACATCTAAATTCAGGGATGAAATGAAAGCCAAACACGGATTGTTGAGAGGAAGAGAGTTCGTTATGAAAGGTATTCATTCGTTTCTCATTGAATCATATTTAACGAAACCCTTCACTCAAATCAGATTTATATACATTTGATGCAAACGAAAGTCAAGCGATTAAAACATACGAAAAAGTTTGCAATTCATACGAAAATATTTTCAAACGATTAGATTTACCGGTTATTAAAGGTATGGAAAATTGTGGGAAACATGTGTTTTAAATGTTTGTCAATTGAAAAAAAAACTTTGTAATCCAAAGCTCGTGCATCTGTTGGAAGTATTGGTGGAAAATATTCCGATGAGTTTGTTTTGCCGTCTGATTTAGGCGAAGATGAGATCTACAAATGCAATGCATGTCAAACAGCGTTCAATACAGAGCTGGTTCTCAATCGATCAGACGCTGAGTGCATATCATGTAAAAGCAATGATTTAACAAAAATGAATGCCATAGAAGTCGGACACGCATTCCTCCTCGGGAACAGATATTCGGCCAAATTTGACGCTAAATACTCGTCAAATGACACGAACGCGAAAATGTAAATAACAATTTGTTAGTAAATTTTATATCAGAATCTAATGTTTGATTTAATTTGAAAGCATTTATGAGATGGGATGCTATGGTTTAGGTGTGAGCCGTATATTAGCCGCTTCTGTGGAAGTGTTGTCACAAAACCACACTATATGTTGGCCCAAAGCGTTGGCACCTTTTAAACTATGTGTTGTTTTGCCTAAAGTATTGATTTGTTGAAGTTTTATTGTAATGATTAGTATTAATAATATAAATAATGTATTGATTTATAGCGTGGCAGCAAAGAAGACACTGGAAATGGTACTGTATTTGGACTGCAATTCGCTAATTGTTTGTCAAATGTGTTGAACGAAGATATTCTCATTGATGACAGAACTACTCAGACAATCGGTAGACGTCTAACAGGTCTGCAAACGTTAGGCATTCCCTATACTATAATCGCCGGCAAACAAATCACTGATGAAATGCCCAAATTTGAAATCATTGATAACCAAAGCAAACAAAACTATTTTATGACTCAATTAGAATGCATTCAATTCTTAGAGAATTTATTATAACTTATGATACTTTGTATTTATAATAATCAAGTTTACCATCATTTAGTACCTTTTATATAATAATTGGAAATTAAAACAGAGTTTACAGTATCACTGCCTTATTTTTTAAAATCAATTTAATTGTTATTAATTATGCGACAAATAATTACTTAAATAAATGGATTGTTTTTAATTTCGATGTTTTATTTAATAAGAATAAAGTATAACACAATCTCGAAACGTGAAAGACTTATATTTAAAAATAATTTTTATAAACTTAATAATTATCTTATAATAATGGTTACTAATATTGATTGTTTAAACAATTCAGAGTTTATTAAAGGTAATTTTTAAAGATTTTACTTTTAATCCACTGATCTTTGCGATTACCCCTTTGAGATTGTGTTTAAGTAATTATTTAATCAATATATTATATAACAGTAAATTATGTAAATTTATATATTTTTATTGTTTATGAATTTTTACAATATTAAATAAATATTTATTTTAATTAACTACTGATTAATATGCTTTGAATTTTGAATGATATCGTACAACTGGTTAAGACAACATTAGATTTTAAATATTGATATTCAAGTCCACATTAATAATTTACGATTTCTAATTGTGAGAGAGACAAATGTTAAAAGTATGAGCCTGGTGATTCCTTAATATGATTGATAATTTTATATCAAATCTATCATTAAACATATTATTATTATTATCAGATAATAATGTAAATTTTATTTTATTCATAAAATTATTAAGAGTTACAATTGTAGTTTGTTTCGTTTAAAAGTACTAAAGAAATTAAACACTTTATAATATTTACCGTTAGATTATTTTATACAGTATTCTGTATATTGAAAGCTAATTATGACTAAAAATATAAAGTAAGTTTTTCATTAAACTATGTTTAAAATCCACTCAAAAACACCATTTAATTCACATCTGTGTCTGTGTTTTGTATGCATTGAAAAATAATCTTTAATGAAAGTAGAATTTATGTCAATTATATTCAATTAAATGCATATTTATTTGAATATAATTTGATAGTAATTTGTTATTATGCAAGTCTAAAACTAACCAGTTAAAACTTCATGATTATTATCTGAATTATATAACTGTATTGATTTGATGACATAGATCTTATAATCAATATTATATCACAACTAATTCTAAGCTAAATGTCAGCTGAAATGAATGATTTGTCTCTGAATAAACTTAATTAGCTTTGATTGATATCATTATTGTATCAATACTTATATAATAAGTTATATTAATATCAATAAGGATTAGGAATTTACTGACAAATGATATTTGCTATGAAACAGGTGTGGAATTGGAGTAACTGTCCTTTCAATCAATATTATTCTAGCAGTTCATCGCTTATCACTTCAT